AATTGCGAGTAACTGTACTATACTGTACTGAACTGTACTATACTTTGTCCACGGCCATTATAATAATTATGAAGAGTGTTTGAATATATATTTTTAATGTGAATCTTAGTATTAATTATTATATTCATGTTTTAGGGGAAAGTCACTACCTACTTAAAATTTGGCAATTTCAAACGTCAAAATTAACTAAAAGATAATAAAAACGTCAATATCATCAGTTGCTATGCATCGAGAGTCGCAGTCATCTCGAACTATTCTGTTTTCAAATATTTGGACTATTCTATTTTCAAATATTAGATGTGTTTTACGACATACCAGTATATTAGTGCTTTTTTCTACCACCTTTAATAAAATAAGTTTGTTGAAAAGTGATAGATCGTACCAGCTCACTTTTTGTTGTTTTGTGTAACTAAAGTTGGTAATTTGTGTTTTATTTGTTTATTGCGAAGGAAATGGCTGACCTTAGGCAGAGCGTTACACAAATGTCGCTCACATTGGAAAAGCTTGTTACAAGGGATAAGACCTGTACATATCATAATATGCAGCGGAAAAAATCCATTTCAACGCAGACGGGCCCTATAGATCACCAAAATAGTACTTTAGATAGTACTTTAGCTTTTATAGATTCGCCAAAAAAAATAGTTTCACCCAAAATAGTGTCATCGCAACCTCCTAAGGCCGCCATAAGAGAAGACTGGAATTATGTGGTGGTGTCCAGAATTCCACCTCCTTACACAGCGAATCAACTTGCGCACTATGTTAAAGAAAAACTAGGAACCACCGACTTCATCAGATGCTTTCCAATGCTGAAAAATAAGGACAGTTCCCATTCCGATTTCAAAATTGGAGTGCAAAAGAGGTGTCACTTGGTGCAGCTTAAGGACATAAATATGTGGCCGCCGGGAACCATAATAGATTCAACCTCAACATCCTTAAGCCAAGCTTCGTTTACTTCTTCGGTTGAACCTGCTCAAAATCTCAAAATAAACATCATTGAGAACCGCAAGCTACCTCACCTACTTGACCCACCACTGGCAACTATGCCAAGGGAGGTAAGAACTATTAAGATTGGGTCTGACAGGGAGGCTATAGCTGCTTGCAAGTCCCTGGCGATGGAAAATCCAGAAATTATTGTGCAGGGAAGTGCGAAGAGAGATGGTTTGGCAGTTATGGACCCGATGACCCCACCTATAGTACGGCTGTCTCAGGACTCAGATGCGGTAAATGGACGTTACGTGTTGGCCAGGTTGAGGGACCCCTCCATTTTGAAATCTCTTAGGCTATTCCTTGCCTATCTTCACGACCAACCATCCAGTGTGTGTTTTGAAGGACACACTAGTACCAGCATCAAATTGATGCTTGCATCAGAAGGGCTACCTAGTGACCTGGAGTCCTTGCGTAAGTTGTACTACCGCTTCCACAACGCCTATGGTATTGGTTCAACTGAAGTTGATGCAGATCTTTCAGCTTTCAGGTCATTCTTTTCTGCGGAGAGCCTTCTACGACTTCAAAAAATTAGGGAAAGTCATGGCAAATATTATTCCAGTGGTTCCCCAAATAAGAGTAAAAATTTTTAGTTGAATTGACGCGAACAGAGGATCAAGCACCCTCTGAAGAATTAAGCGATAGCAAGCTTGGTCTATTCCTTATTAATATTCAGTCCTTAAGACATAAAACAGATGAATTATATCTTTTACTAGAAGAACTTGAATTTCCAGATATCATTGCCATAACTGAGCACTGGTTGAATTTTGATGAGCCTGTGTTTATTAAAAATTATACCACAGTAGCCAGATTTGATAGAACAAATTTTTCTCATGGAGGTACTATGATAATGTCTTTAAACAACGACTTTTCCGAGGTAACTAGGTACAATGATTTGTTATCTGAAAAAGTATTCGAATTTTCCATTGTCCACCATAATGCTTATGACCTTTACATTATTTGTATTTATAGAACACCTGACTCTGACGTGCAATTATTCTGTCATAATCTACTAAGCTTGCTTAAGTCCCTGCCCTTGAAAAAGCAAATTAATTTTGTGTGGTGATCTTTAATATTGACTTTCTTAGTGTATGTGCTGCTCAGGAGTTTCTTTCAGTCCATTTTTGATTCTTTTGAATGGCCATGCATGTAGGCTCACCTACCAGAATATCCAATACCAGTTCTAGTACTATAGACTATGTTGTGTCATCTTTGATCCTAACTCCATCGCCTGCAACGTCTTTAGCTCGGGTCTCTCTGATCATGAAGCAGTTTTAACTGAATTTTCGATAAAGTCCAAAATCAAAAATGCCCCTCGTAAATAATGCCGTATTTTTTCAGAAAAGAATGCTCAAAAGTTCAGCCACTTATGTAAAACAACCAATGGGATACTAGCTCTTATGATGTCGACACCGAATTTTCTATTTTCGTAAAACATTAACCAGTCTAGCGTTCAAATCCTTTCCTCTTAGGCCTATAAACAATAAGCATAATAAACCTTGGACCACTAAAGGTCTACGCATATCTTCTAAAAACATGCGTTCATTATCTCACTTTAAAAAAATTCTCAGACAGTCTCTTCTTCCACAATTACGTAAAACTATACAGAAAAAATTTATCATAAGACTATAAGAGCCGCTAAGGACCTTTATTATAATAGGAGAATAGTCAATTCTGGTAATGTTGCTAAAGAAACATGGTCTATTGTGTATGAGTTGAGGAACAAAGCTTCTTCGTCTAGCAATATCTCTACCTCCTCGCCTGAGAACCTTAACGATTACTTTGTAAATGTAGCCAAAAACTTAAATCTAATACCATATGTCCCTCCTCATGATCCACTTTCTTATCTCTCTAATGATAATGTAAACTTACATGTTTCTTTTTTTCGCCCGTAGTTCTTGAAGAGCTTCTGCAGTACAATTAATACCACCAAAAATAAATCCTCTTCTGGGACCGGGCACGGTCTAACTTTAAAAATATTTTCGAATCTGCCAAAAGCACTCTTGAATCACCTAACAACTTTAATACACATGTCGTTCCAAAATGGTATTTTTCTCTAAAATGTCTTAAGACGGCAATACATCATTCCACTGCACAAAGGAGGAGACAAAGATGAAGCTTCTAACTATCGCTCAATTGCACTCCTTCCAACGCTAACTAAGATCATAGAAAGGTTGGTTAAAAGCAGGCTGGTATCTTTCTGTTTAAGTACAAAAATACTTACTGAATATCAATTTGGATTTCTAAGCAACAAGTCCACAAATGACGCTATGTTTTCCCTCCTTAATAAAGTTTACTCCAGCAGCCTAAACAAATCATCATTCTACAGCAACAATTTTCTGTGATTTTTCTAAGGCGTCTGATTGTGTAAATCATAAGATCCTAATTAATAAACTGCAGCACTATGGGTTCAGGGATCATCTCTCGAATGGTTTAAGTCGTATCTGAGCAACAGAAGTCAACTGTGAGGGTGGATACCACGTTGTCTTCTAGCAAGCCAATAGAATGTGGAGTACCAAGGCTCAGTACTAGGCCCTATTTTTCTTCTTCTTTTTATTAACGACATTGCTAACATAAACATCAGTGGCAAAATATGTCTTTTTGCGGACGACACTAGCTTCACTTGGAGCAACAAGGACATCGCGGCACTTCATAGGATTATATCAAATGACTTAATCACCATTAAATCTTGGTGCGATTCGAACCTCCTGAGTCTCAACATTTCTAAACTAAGGCTTTGTCGTATAAAAACTCGTTGCAGCCTTTTGTACTTTACAACACCACCACTGACGTCGTAAAATCTGTAAAATTCTTAGGGCTTGTTGTGGACAATTCTCTGAAATGGGACATACATATCGAAGCTTTGTCGAAAAAATTGAGCTCTGCCTGTTTTGCATTAAGGTCTGTTTCTGAGGAGCTTAACTTGTCAGTGGCGAGAACTGTTTATTATGCACTTTTTGAGTCGCACCTCAGGTATGCCCTTCCATTCTGGGGTACGTGTTGTGCGGCTCAATTTGACCGCATTTTCAAGCTCCAGAAGAGAGCTGTTCGATATTCACTGGGACTAAAACAGCAGAACTCATTGCCGGGGCTTTTTAGAGAATTAAAATATTGACTCTTCCCTTCCTTATTTATATTTGAATCCGTTTGCCTAATACGTAAACATGTATCAGCTTCTCAAGAAAGGCCATCTCACACTTATCCACTCAGGAACGCGGAGCAAGATCTTTATCTACCTACCCCATGCTCAGAGTTAGTTAAAAGTTCAATATTATACAACTCGAAAAAAATGCACAATCACCTGCCATTTGAAATCAAATCCATAACATCATTTTTTTTATTTCGCAAAGCATTGAACTCTTATTTACTAGGCAAGGCTTTCTACGCCGTAAATGAATTATATTTGAATTGAAAATCGAATTTGATCTTGAAAACACTGGTCTAATGTTTGCTATTGCTATATTTACTAATGACATGGAAATTAATTTATTTAGAGGTCATTGATATTTTGCTATAAACTGGCTAAATATTTTTGAATATTATTTTAATTTTTTTTGTTCTTTGACATTGTAAACATTTATAAATGTTTATTTTAACACTAAGACTGACAATATTATTTGTATAATGTTTTGTATTATCTTTTGTTTGTTTGTTTGTGTACCTTGTTTTTTTTTTACTTTGTTTGTTAGTTTACCTTTGTCTACAAATTGAAAAATTTTTTGACAATAAAGGCATTTATTCATTAAAGGGTTATATATGTATTTGAATTTTATTGATGCTGCTTCAACTTTAGTTGAGTACAGTTGTTGGAGAACGATAAATTAGAGTACCAGCATCTGACTTTTTGTTGTTTTGTGTAACTAAAGTTGTTAATTTGTATTTTATTTAAAGTTATATATGTATTTGCCACATTTAAGGGACACCCGGTATAGTATAGGGGGTCCAGTTACCTCATACATTAAATACTGATTAATATTATAATTGGAATATTATGATAAATAAGAAAATCCATTACATTAAAATCAATGACTTTATTAACATAATAACAAATTAACCAGATAAAACATATTTTCCATAAAACAATCTTTTTGGTATAATAAATTATCAATTCGTTTATTTCTTTCCGGACAGAAGCGTACCTAAAAAAATAAGGTTTTTAGTGAATCATAAATTAAGAAATAAATAATTAAAGCTACTACTAAATAATACTTAAAATCTAAATTAGGTACCTCATATTATCTAAAAAAAGCATATTTTAATTTCTTTGGATATATGATTTTTTATCAAAAAAAATTTATATGCATTTACCGGCACGAAAAACAATTTGTAGCTAAATTATTTCACTTTATAGTATTTTCTTTTAAATTAAAAATGAATTTCCCATCTGTTAATTATACGAGAAAACACGAAATGTTGTTATTTTGGTGAAAGTGTAGAACACCCTGTGAAATATGTTAAAAAGCAAGGAATTTGAAAATTATTTCAACACTTAGGTGCATTTTTTACGATAGTTTATTTTTTGGTTCATCTCAGTTCTCAGTGGCTGTATTTTAATATAAAAGATAATCGCTTTTGATGAAGACGCTCTGGGACCAAAAGCAAAGGCATGGGTTTAATGTAAAAATTACGAAAAAGTGTTAGTGCCTTCTTCAAAAGCGAATATCTCCAACAAAAAAAAACTATTGAGATGAACAAAATAACAAAACTATTGAGAAAGAATGTACCTAGATGAGATTTTTTAAATTCCTTGCTATTTTAATATATTCCAGAGGGTGTTTCAAACTTTCACCAAAATATCAACATTTTGTTTTCCCTCGTATAATTAACAGTTGAACTTTCATTTTTAATTTAGAAAGATATACTAAATAGTTTAGCTATACATATTGCTTAAAAAATCATCAAAATCGGCCCACTAGAACTTTAAAATACATCAAAATTTTAACGTGCCTGTTTTTCGTACCGGTGAGTGTATATTTCAATTATGATTCATGTACAGGGTGGCTCGAATTCGACGCTCATCGTTGGGATTTCGGAAACCGTAAGAGATACAAGATCGGTTAAATGGAGAAAAAGTTGCGCAATTTGATGCTCAATAAAATGCCGTATTGCATTTTTATTTTTTATTTTTTTTTGCATAAAATATTCTGGTGATGGAATTTTCTGTACGAAAGGTCGGCAAATATCAAAGTGACTATATATATTATTTTAAGGGTGATGAAAGGATTTAATTAAATTGAAAAAAAAATCAGGTCCGTATTTAAAAAAATTAAGTCGATGATGGTCGCCAGAAGCCGAAACGTCAGAATCAATATTTAATCACACAGAGTGTGATTAAATATTGATTCGCCACGCCCACTCGGTGCCCACTGAGCGAGTATATAAACGCTCAACTTGTAGATTGTACTTTAGTTTATAATCATCTGCTGATGATGCTAACATGGTTAGCGAAACGCGCGTCCAGTGTAAAAGTAAAAGTGTTTTGGCGTATTGTGGTGATTTAGTGTTTTTATTTTGCTGTGTTTTTCATTTTAAGTTATCTTAACAAATAAAACCAGGAAACAATAGAAAACAAAATTTAAAATTCCGTATTTGAAAAAAGTATTCGGAATTTTTCAAAATGCATTTTATTGAGCATCAAATTGCGCAACTTTGCCTCCATTTAACCGATCCCGTATCTCTTACGGTATTTTTCCCAATGATGAGCGTCGAATTCGAGCCACCCTGTACTAAAAAGGGATATATGCTTTAATCTACTTATGAAACACACAATTTTGACTATTTTGACGAATAATGTTATACTATTTCGCGAAGAGTTACACCATAGAAACTACATTAATGAGAAAATAAGCAGATGTACATACCATTAGCTAAACTTTGTACAACGCCACTCACTGTTGAAAGGACCGTACCTAGCTGGTCTGTCACAGTTGACAAATCAGGCAGTGCTATAAAAATATACATATGCACTAAGTCTTATAGTCCATACGTTCTACTACTTACCCTGCTCTTGAGAATCGGCTATGAGAACCTAAAAAAAAACAATAAATAATTAAAATATGCTTTTTTTAAACCACTTCTTGATATTTTTCGCATTTAATCATCTACCCTCCCGGAATCTAATATATAAAATCTTCATGTCACTGTTTTAGTATACACCTCCGAAACGTCTTAACCAATTCGATGAAAGTTTCTATGTATACCCCGTAGGTCTGAGGAACAGGTTGTTATCTATTTTTTATACCCCTAAGTGATAAGGGTGGTCCACCCCAATTTTTTTTTTTATTTTTTGGACAAATTATGTTTATGAAGTGGCATTAAAAAATACATACAACCCTAAATTTTCACCTTTCTACCATCAACCCCTATTTTTTAATAGCGATATTAGTTATTCAATTATCTTCAATCCCGTGAATAAAAATGACTGTTGTCCCATAAAAAAATATTTATATGGCAAAAAAAAAACGTTTGCCGGGTCAGCTAGTTATGCTATAAAAATCTGGCTGCGGAATCCAGAGAGAATCTAGAGAACATTAGGAAAAAGCGTGGAGTGAAAAACGGAACAGATAAAATCAAGGTAATGTCTATTAATGAAGATATTTTATTGTCGTATTTTTTAAAACATCAAGAAAAATTTATACATATGCAATTTCATCCATGTGGTCAAAGTTTTCGATGTTAAAAGCTGCTTTAAAGGTCTACAAAAACATAAATATTGAGAATTATGGTAAGCATTGCTGCAGTATTAGTAATCAGCCAACAAATTGATTCTTGATTACAATTTCGTTATTTGACTAGTGGGATAATAGTTATTATTTATATAATATAAATACCATTTTATCGTCGTTGTTATTATACAACAATATATTACTACAAAAAAAAAAAAAAAATTATTTTTTTTAAAAAATATCAGGAAATTATTTAATTTATTACGAGATTAAGAAAAATTTGTTGCTGTGTTGGCGTTGGTTTCTTATGTAATTTGGGACAAATAAATAAAGCTGTCTCTTTAGTTGTCAGTAGTTTTGCAGTTCAATATTTTTTAATTCTCTTTTCGCTGTCGATTGCTGATTGAATTGAGCCAGAAATGGCTTCAAAACGAAAATAAGGAAAATGACCAGCAGATATTCAGCTGAGGCGACAAACGCCTTATCCACACTACTTCCATTTAAATCCCAAATAAAAAATATAAAAAAAAAAAAAAAAAAAAAAAAAAAAAAAAAAAAAAAAAAAAAATTAAAAAACGTGCGAGAAAGAAATTAAAGTTTTTAACCTATCCTCGCTTGTGGTTAAAGCAATCATTATTAATCTACCCTTGCGGCGGTTAGTTACTCACTCACTCTCTCTCTCTCTACTATTTTTGATAAATATAAGACAAGTTTAACAGTTTCTGTGGAAAAAAGTTATTTTATCCCACTAGCGGATAAAATATTACTTTAAATGCTTCATTATGAGCGGATAAAACTCAAATTATTGTATGATTGTGTATAAATAGTATATTGTTTTATTAGGTTTGGCACAAAAAGTCATTTTTACTCCGAATGCTTTTTTTCAAATGCCACAAATAATTTTTTAAACAATTTAAAACATTCCAAATAATATAAAAGGATTTAAAAACCATACCTTGTGTGTAATTATATATCGAGAAACTATGGTTACGGGCTTGTTTAATTTGACCATACTTAATAATATATTTTCGAACTTTTATACTTAGGCGTAAAAGTGCTTTACTTTTATGCTGTTACGATGATAAAATGATTTTTAAAATCCTTATTTTGTTAATATAGGGTGGCCCATCGAAAACGTTCCGCAAGGCATAACGGCCAGGGTATTTTTTTTTCAAAAAATCCAAAAACACGTCAATTTTGTTTGTGAGGGGGACAACTTTTGCCCCAAAAATGATTGCAAAACTTCAACCTTCTAAGCGGGGGAGTCATCCCCAACTTTTTTCAAATGAAAAAGGGGGTCAAGTGGCGCCACAATAGAAAGAGCTTTCTATTCTCTATATTTCCGCTTGCTTTTTGAAAATCGGTCGAGTCAATTGAGAAAATATGAAGGATTGAAATTTGAAAAGTTTATTTAAACATTTATCAGAGTAAATTATAAAGATAAATTCCTTCTTCGACCAATTTGGTTGTTTTTTTCTTTATTACTAGACGCATTTTTCACTTGCTGGCCAAGGTTGATGATCAGTGCGGTAGTTGCTAGATAGCTGTTCTGTGACTTCTGCGTTAAAGTTCTTCTCAACATCGTTAAACTGACTAACTAACCTTAACCTAACCTAATCCACATTAGAATTTCCAAAATACCAGCCCACACGTTCAATTTCTGAGGGTTTTGTGTGTGCACCTCGTGAAAAACCCTGAGGTTGTCCTCAGACCAGTACCGACAGTTGTACCGATTAACTACACCGTTCAAAAAAAAAGTACACTCATCCGAAAAACACACATTAAATAGAAAATTATTATCATTCGCCACTCGTTTCACTCATAGTTTCACAAAATTGCAAGCTATAATCAAAATCGTCTGTGTTGAGTTCTTGTACCAACTGAATTTTGTACGGGTGGAACTTGTGTTTTTTTTAATATCTTTTGGACACTTGTACGATTCACGCCGGTCTTATTGGCTCATTTTCTTGTACTCAGCCTACTATCCATGGCAACTTGGCCCAATACGAATACCTCCATAGCTTCATTTACTATAAGATTTTCCCTCTGCCTCTTTTTATTCATAACGAAACCAGTTTCGCAAAATTTTGCTACTAACTCGCGAACAATTTTGCCATAAAGGTGCTTGTCAGGATAGCGTTCGTTGAATATGTGCGCAACCCGATCATCTATTATTATTAAAATAAAGTTCGATTATTTCCACTTTTTCTGCAAGTGAGCACACTATAATTGTTAAGAAGTTTAACGATATTGAGAAGAACTTCAACGCACAAGTCACAGAACAGCTATCTAGCAAATACCGCACCTGATCGTTCAACCTTGCGGCAAGTGAAGAAATGCGTAAACATCTAGAAATAATAAGAAAAAAACTCAAATTTTTTTTTATTATTTTGATTATTTATCATTATCATTTACTCTGATAAATGTTTAAATAAACTTTTCAAATTTCAATCCTTCATATTTTCTCAATGGCTCGACCGATTTTCTTCAAAACGAGGGGGGGAAATATAGAGAATAGAAAGCTCTTTCACTGCGGCGCCACTTGACCCCCCCTTCCATTTGAAAAAAAAAAAAAGTTGGGGGATGACACTCCAGCTCAGAGGGTTGAAGATTTTTGCAATCATTTTGGGGCAAAGTTAAGTCCCCCTCACAAACAAAATTGACGTGTTTTTGGATTTTTTGAAAAAAAAATACCTTAGCCGTTATGCCTTGCGGAACGTTTTCGATGGGCCACCCTGTATATTGCACAGAGTGTTTCAGATTTTTTCTAAAATATCAACATTTTGTTTTCCCTCATATAAAATTGACAGATAAGAACTTTTATCTTTAATTTAAAAAGAGACACTAAAAAGCCAAATAATTAAGCTACAAATTGCTTAAAAAGAGACACTAAAAAGTAGTAGTGGGAACTATCGAATGAATACTATCGAAACATTCGATTCATTCGAATAATTTGATAGCTAGTAAGAAAATATTCGTTGAAAACTATTCGAATAAAAATTATCGAATCGTCATCTGCTTTGAAATATTGTATTCTAGTAATTCGGCAGCAAAACCATTCATTTATAAAATTCATTCATTTATGAAATCTATTTATTCCTCAGGATCGAAATATAATAAAATATTAACTGAATTTTAGTTGTCGCCCGGCGACGTAGGTCTCTTTCCGAGAAACCCGGTCGGTGGCAATGCTATGAAAGAAGCCAGCATCTTTGATTTTTGCGGAGTCCGATAAAGATAGCGACACATTTTTTATTGAGGTGCTAGTATTTACACAGAAATACATTATGAAGGGCGCTGTTGCCATATATTGATATTAGTTGATATTAGCAAGAAAAATTATTGTTTGGCTTTAGTTAGTTAGGGATAGTATTTCTATATATTTTGCATTTTTTTTATTAATATTCTGTTGTTACACTGCAATAGTACTTGTTATTTTGGATGCAGGAAAATTATTTTTCAATGCTTTTAAGCAAAGACTGGTTTAATAAATAATAATAATTTGTAACAGTAATAATTTGTTATAGTACCTATTAAGAACAAAATTTAAAATCATTTAATATAAACATTTTTTGGGTAGTAGTAAAATATAAACAACAAATTAGATGTCAAAAATTATTTATATTAGATCCTATTTATAACAATATAATCTCTAAATTTTTTGTGGCAACGTTGGTTTATTAAATAATAATAATTACAGAACTAATTTGTTATATTAACAACAAATTTTAAAATCATGAAATATAAACATTTATTAATTTTCTAACCATGCAGTGTATTGGAAGGAAAATAAATTTGAGATATTATTAAAAATACGATTTGAGCATTTTCTAACTGGCCAGGATACGACACTAAAAACATTAAACGATCAAATCTATTTTTCCAAGGCTCCTTGATTAAGAATTAGTGTTTTTAAGATAGCCATGGCACTCTAGATTGAATTTTAAAATACGATTTTTTATTAAGCGAAATCATGAAATATAAACATTTATTAATTTTCTAACCATGCAGTGTATTGGAAGGAAAATATAAATAAAAAATTAGAATTCAAAATTATTTATATTAGGTGCTTTATATTACTATTTAAAATTTACTTTAAAATATAAATGAAATATTTCTTCGCAAAAAACTAATGTAAGAATTAGTATAAATAAAATACAAATATCGCTAACTTTTTTTTAAATTGGCACGTGTAAAATGTTCAATTTAATTTTCACCCCATAATTTGAGTTTGATAACCATTTACTTAACCACATTATTTAAATATGATTATTAAGTTCAACTAATTTATATTATTAAAACATCTAAAATACAAATATGTATTTTTAAAATTCAAAAGTTCATCTCTGCCTCTTTTAAAAATTGCGACTTTTCA